AGGTGATGAACTGACATCTGCTGAAAGCCATCCTGGCTCCAGGCGAGCCGGGCAGGGGGGTGCAAAAGGAGGGAGGCCGAGAGCAGCCCCACACACCTCTTCCTCACTCTCCAGATATCCCCTTAAAGCACCAACAAGTAGCCTGGGCCGTGAACCTGGCAGCGCGGCGCTGAACTGAAACTCATGCTGTGAGCATCCCCGGGCCCTGTGCTCCATGGACCCGTCTGGGTGAGGAGGGGGCAGGCAGCAAACCGAGGGAGCTGCTGCTTTCCCTTTGTTTTGCTTTCTTATTTCACAAAGGAAAACGGTATCAGTGGGTTTCCTAGGGACAGAGTGAGGTAGCCAGGTTTGTCCTGATGCCGAGTGCGCCTCTAGGTTTCTGGTGACCTATCAAACTTAAAGAGCATAGAGCATCTCATCCTCTATCCCCAGTCACCCTGCAGCAGGAATTTGCTAGAAGTGGATTTAAGTTTAGATTTATTTAAACAAGCATATATATATGTATCTATATATAAGAGTACATATTGTATATGCACCCACACAGACCCCCACCCGTCCCTTTCTTCATGCTTCCTCTATCAAGGAAATAACACACGTTCCCTTCTAGGACCGAGCCTATTGGCAAAGGGTCCTTTTAGAAAAACAAGAGAAGCTGGTGAGCTAGAACTTATTTTCCTGAAGTTCATTTCTAAGAGGAATGATTTTCTTGTAGAATTCTTTTCTTCTGCCCAGGCACTCTTTTCGCTCCTTGAATGGCAGATTTGCAAGTACAATTTCATCTGCACAGAGGAACAATAGCTTTCAGTTGCACAAAGGATTTCTCCCACCCTGAATCCAAACCACAATGCCTCTTGCTCTGATAATAGCTTCTGAAAAGATTTTGTAATGCACAGAATTAATACATGATTATTTCCGCCTCACTTCTCTCATTTATTAGATTCTATAGTGAATTCCAAATTAAAAATAGCACCTCTCGAGTTTTTTAACGTTCTGATATTTTGAAACAAATCATATTCTCAAGTTGCTCCTTTTGCCCATGTTTACGAAGAAATCTGCTTTTTAAATTATTATTATTGCTTAGAAACCAATCTACCTGATAGCAGTGTAATAATCAAGACATTCACAAGCTGCAGAAAAATGCAGTGTGAGGTTATTCCTAAATGAATCACAGTGGTTTTGCTTTTACAACGTGGAGGGAAGGCTGGGCGCAGCAGCTGAGCGTTGTCAGAAATACCTCCTTACACTGATAAAGTGGAATCAAACCTCAACTTGTGTGAGAGTTGTGCAGAATCAGGCCCTGTGTCCTGGAGGAAAAACGGAGTTAATTGTGCGGGGGCATCTGGAAGGTGAGCGCTCACAGCCCTGCACAGAGCCCTCTCTGCTGTCACAAAGGCTTTCCCCTACCCTTCTTCCAACGTAGGTGTGAGAACTTATTTACATGAAAGCCTCCATTAAATATTTACTGCCATTTGCTTGGGATTTGTTTGTGCTGAATCATGGGATGACACCACGGAATGGGACGCGGCGCTTTGATTCGAGCGGTGATTTGTGACTCCGGCGTTACGCTGCACTATTGACTGCTTCACTTTGGGCTGTGTGTAGATGTGCTCTGCCAAGGGACTGGGAAAGCCAACGTGAGATCAGATCCCGTGCATTTTTTCCCTCTTAAAATAATCATGACAACAACAGAACAACCCTTACGGAAGTGGTGTAACTCCAGCGAGCACTGGTGAGTGTAGAGTTATAGAATGGAAGAGTAGAAGTGGTTGGTAGGTGTGATGCTCTGGGATGGAGCGAAGCTTTGTCATCTAGAATTCAGCATGGATTGGGCCATTGCAAAGCGAGCAAAGACCGAAGCCTGAGTGTTTTGAGTTATTTTCTAAGCCGTCCGTTTAGGATCAGTGGTTTTGCCTTCATTGGGACTCAAAGAACACGTGTTTCCGAAAAGGAAATCATTCAGGGGGATGTCAATATATTCAGCTCTATAAAGTTTAAAAAATGCATAGTTACATGTAGCTGAGTTTAATATTTAATTATGTGTAATTTATGTGGTCTATTTATTTGTTGAGCCTTAGGGGAAAGAAAGGTGATTTGTTTTTCTTGTTATGCAACAGCTATTGTTCCCCTTCCACCCCGGGCGAGCACCGTGGCAGCCTGAGCGAGCACAGGGAGAGGTGTTCTGCCTTAAAAGACATCCGACTGTAAATGTCAAATTCATAAATATTTAAACATTTTTCTTTCAATTTCGAGGCAAGTCTGACAGGACGCCTCTAATTAACCCTGGGCTCCGTTTCAGGCTGGGGCCTTATTGCCGGGAAAGAAGAATGAGAGGTTTGGGCGAGGGGAAATCTCAGCTCGTGGCTGGGAGGGAGAGGGAGGGACGGAAGGAGGGAGCTTGGAACGAGCTCGCTGGATTCATTTTTACCCGTTTCATCGTTTGACGGTTGATGTGCTTGCTGGAAGGGCAGCGGGTCTGCGGGGCTGCTCTGGGAGCACCGGGAACCTGAGGTTCTCCTGTCGGGACGCATCCCGGGGCCGGGCCTCACTGCAGCCCCAGCCCTGCGCTCCCCGACGGTGGAGGTGTACTCGGGGCCGCCCAGCCGGAGGCGGCTCCCGACCCCTGGGCTGCTCCTCCGCACCGACCCCGGCAGCAGAGAGGGGAGAGGGGGAAGCTCCGCGCCCCGACGGCGGCAGGGAGAGGGGCTGAGTGCCCCCGACGTGATGGGACAGAGGTGCAGCTGCCGCTGCCCCAACTCCTCTTCCCTCCCGGTCATTCCTGGCTCCTTCCCTAGGAAGATGTGTGTTTTGTTTTATTTTGATTTGGATTTTTTTTGCAAGCTCTTGGCCGTCTGATGCCCAGCATCAGGGACGGCGGTTCCGGGGGCTCCCATGAAAAACGCTCCCCGACGTGGTGCCAACAAGGCACCCTAACCCTCAACCTTCCACCCCGCAGCCCAAAACCCGGCAGTTTCCTCGCGTTTCCCGATACGAGAAGCGGATCTCGGCCCACGCCGCTTTGTTCCGGGCACGGCTGCCCCTCGGTCCCGGCGCTGCGAGAAGTTGGAAGCGGCACTCCCGTCACTATAACTACGGGAGTCGAGGGGAAAGCACGCTCCTTCTCTCCCCCGTGTTTACTCAGGGCGCTTGACAGCACTTTGCTCCCGTCATTTTCATTGTTTCCTTCGCACAGCCCTTTCCCCCTGGCGTTTGCGCGGCTCTTTCACACGGCGAAAGGCGAAGGGAAAAGCGTTTTAAAACCGCGGTGCTAAAAGCGGAGAAAGGGGAGATCCGTGAGCAGTGCGATGGGGGAGCCGGGGCTGCGCGGCTGGGACGCGCCCTCGGGGCTTCGGGGGGGTGTCGGGGGGGCTTGGAGGGGGGCGGGGTGGCCCCGGGCACCGCGGGGGGCCCGAACCGGGGTCGGAGGGGCTCCTCTGTGCCTCGCTATCGGGGGGCCGAGCGGAGCGGAGAGGCGGATTAACGTCCCGGGGCGCAGCCGTCGGGGAGGGGGCGGCGGCCCTTTAGCGGGGGCCGCCTATTGAGATGCAGATCGCGACCCCTGGCCCCGAGGGGACGGCGTCCCTTTCACTGAAATGCTAATGGCAGAGCGCGGCAGCCCCGCGCCTCCCCGGGCCCCCGGGTGATGCCGTCGGGTTTGCCCCCTCCCGGCTCGGTTTGCGAGCCCCCGGCGGCCGGGGCAGGTGGCCCGGGGTGGGGGGCGAGGGGAGGCGCCCCTGGAGCCCCCAGGGGATGGGGGGGAGCGGCCCCGTCCCCCTGGTGGCTGGTGGGATTGGGAGGAGGGGCCGGGGGGCGGTGCGAGCCGAGCCGGGCTGAGCCGGGCCGGGCCGAGTGGGTTCCGCGCCCGCCCCCGGGGCTTCCCAGAGCCGGCCGAGCATCCTCCGCTCCCAGCGTCCAGGCGAGAAAATCCGGGAGACTCCTTGAAGCCGCATTTCCATTAACTCAGCCTCAGCCCCGGCTAATCCGCAGCACTGAAGGCAAGGAGGCTAATTAATGACAAGCTTTTACAGTCAAGACCAGCGATAATTGCTTTGGTGGCCTTTATGATTACAAGATAAAAATGGACCGGGCCTGACATAAGAGCCACTGTGTACACTGCAAGACAGGAGGAAATTAAGAGCTGGCTAGCTGAATACGGAGCAGAAAATTACTAATAGAGGAGAGATAATGAATAGGCCGGCTAGGCATTCATGGGGAAAAATCCATTTTGTTACCACGCGAAATTAGGTGGTGGAAAGGAGTTTGCTAATTGTTCTCATCTTGTAGCAACCAGGGCTGAGGCAGGGGCGTGCTTTTCAATTCATTTCCCTGGTAATTGTGAAAGGGGGAACGCGGGCCAAATGAGTCCTGCTGCAATTTGCGCGCCTGGTCTTTTCATTTTCATGTTGCGTTTTTAATTGTTGCTAATATAGCTTATAATGAAGTTAATGAGGGGAAATTATTGTACAACTTTTTAGCACATGGAGACAAGTGAAATGCACGAGAAGGATTCTCTCCTATTGCTGCAAAAATAATAGTCATCTGGAGGAGTTTGGAACTGACTCTTTCTATATTTATATATAATCCTTTTTCTTCTGTAACAGACAAAAGGAAGAACGGCCACCTACTTTTTTTTTTTTTTTTTTCCCCTGTTGTTTCGTGTTTTATTTTTCACTCTAAGAAAGAAAAAAAAAAAACCAACGGATTTTCCCTCGTTGTTCCGTATGGTTGAGGAGGGAGGGGGGACCCGGCGCTGCGCGCACCCAGCGCCCGCCTCCGCCTTTCGGGAGCGGAAAGCCGGGAGGGGAGGGGACGGGCGGGGAAGGGACGGGAGGGGAGGGAACGGGACGGAACGGGACGGAGCGGGGGGGTCGCGGCGCTGTCTCTGCCCGCCGTTGGGCTCCGGCCCGGCTGCAAGTCGGCGCTGCCGGGGGCTTCCCCCGACGGGGCCCCCGCACCGCTCCGCGCCGCGCACTCAGGCGCTGCCTCTCTCTCCTCCCCTGCAGAAAAGCCACGTACCTCCGCTCCCGCAGCGCGGGGAAGAGGCAGAGTCGGCCAAATTTCTCCTCCTCACCCTCCTCTCCCTCGCTTGCATCGCCGGGGTCCTGGCAGCTTCGGGGGTCGTCTACTGCCTACGGCACCGCGCCCACCACCGGCTCAAGGAGAAGCTCTCGGCCCTGGGGGCTGACGCCGGATCCGATGCTACCGCTGCTTATCAGGTAAGCACCAGTCTTCCTCCTCCTCCTCCTCTTCCTCCTCCTCCTCCTTCTTCTCCTCCCCAGCCCCATTCAGCCAGGCGACACTCGTTGGGCTCCGTTTGTTTTCAGCGCTTCCCCCCTCCCATCTCCTGTGAATGTTCCCTGGAACAGCTCCTTACTGCCGGGCAGTCCTCATGGCTCTCGCTGTAAATTTGTGTCCAATTAGAAACATTGAAAGAAGGAAAAGAAAGCCCCTCGCTGTTGAAATTCTCTGAAAAATAACATTAATATCCATAATCTGTCACCCCTGCTGCTATTAATAACGAAAAATCTTTAGCGTTTCTGAGGGATGGTTCGCACGGTTATCTGAAGATGTCTCTCATTTTGAGTAATCGACTTCTTCAGGGTCTGATATGAAAAGAGCCTTTGACCCGATCTGTTGCCACCTTCTGCCATTATTCAGATAAAATGAAATGTAATGCTGATAGATGGGGAGGCGAATGGGGGCTGTTTGGCGGAGAACAATGGTGGCAGATGTGTGGCCAGGAAGGCGGGAGTGCTGCGCTGAGATTTGCTGGAACACATCACAAACCATCGGGGTTTCTCTTTCAGTTTCAGGTGCTGGGTGGAGAGAGGCTGCATCTTGCTGGAGTTTGTTTTAGCTCACAGGGCCGATTTCTTGGGGGTGTTCTTGGTGATGGCAGTGCGCGTGTTTTGGTTGTACAGCACACAGCTCTTGTTTTCTAGCCCAAAATATTTGGAGTGTGGCTGGGAGAAAGAAGTCGAAAATGTGTAAATATTGTTGCTGTAGTACCCGTGTGTGCTGTGCATCGGTAGGGTCCTCCTCGTGCACTTCTCTGTCAAGTTCTGTTTTACCTTCTTGCTCTACTCAGCATCAGGCGTGCTGGCCTTATGGCCTTCCTGTGTTCTCAGGCTTCAGACTGGTAGCTGGGAGTTGTGCAGGAATAAACTGGGGAAGTTTGGGTCTGTCTCTACCACTTCTGTGTTGGAAAGAAGATTGTGCAGTGCCTCTCCTCAGGATGGGCGCAGAGAGATGGTAGTAATGAGTGATAAATGCAGATGTTTCTGTTATGATTGGTATCTTCAGGAACGGTTTTGTTTTTCAGTTTAAAGGGAATGCTTTCTGTAAAGAGAAAATCCTCAGATCTCCTTTAGGTCTTTAATGAATTCTAAAGCAAGAGAAAGCGAGAGCAAAAGCATTTCCAGTGCTTTTTTGTTTTGCCACTGGAAGAATGGGGCGTCCTCCTGGACAACGTGTGGCCCAACCAGCAACTTGTCCTCTGAGTTTAGTTGGCCAAAGAGATCTTGGTTGTAAACATTTTTGTTTGTTATCAATAGGGAACTTACTGTTCATTCATTCAAACCACAACCACAGAAAGGATAGGTAGTCTCTTTTTTCCTTTTTTTTTTTCATTAAACACAAATACACAAATCCTTTATTTTATTTTATTTTATTGAAGAAAGCCCTCCAGGTTCCAAAATCACACTTGAAACTGAATTTGTGATAATTAACAGGACAATCTTCTTAGTGACAGCTCTAATTAATAGTATCTGTAATTAAAATCGTGCCCTTCCAGCAGGAAAATTGTTTGAATTTCTTGGAGTGACCTTTTTTGCCGTTTCTCTTGGGAGCAGAGTGGTTAAGTTGATATTGATTTTATAATGAGCTCTGGTTTGTTTAATAAGAAGCTGTAATCCAGACACTAAATGAAATGTGCGCTTCATTTCTTCTTCCAGGATTTATATATGTTTTAAAATCTCCCTAGTCAGGCCTAGAAGTGTCATTTTCTGTTCAAAATAATAACAGTAAACAAACAAACAAGCAGGCGAAGTAGCCAGGCAGTGCTTTGAGGATGCTGCTCAGTTTTTCAATAGCAGAACTGCCTTCATATTCTTTGTTCTTGACCTTTGGGCCCAATCCGAACCACCTGACTTCTTCAGCATTTCCATTGGTTTTTCAGGAGAACTGTAGTCATGAGTGGGAGGAAAACTGTTTTTCCTTAAATACAAAGGTTTCTAAGGGCTTGGCTCCCCTCCCATGGAAGGAGATGGGAATTTTGCCATTGGTTTCAGTGGCAGCCGTAGGAGGCCCAAGTATAGGCAGGCAAAATACTTGAGCAGTTTTGCTGCTGCTAAGTAGCGTTTTAGCAACATGAATCACTGGGCCTCTTTTTGTGTATAATAAACTATTCACGTGGATTTGAGGAGAAATAGGACCGAGCCCTGTTTGCATAGTCAGAATCGCCATATGTTGAGCTGTGTTAAAGGGAATGGGTATCTGGTGTGATGCGTGTTTTGGATAACATCAATTAGGTCTCAGAAAAGCAGCAATTATCCTTTTCCTCATCTTCTCTGCTATTCATAGGGCTATAATGCGACCCGTATTCACACAGGGATGAAAAAAAAGCAGATAGCTTTGGAAATTGTACCTACTTTGTTCTCTTCTGCATCAGTTAAATGCTTCCCAAGTATCTACTTGGTTAACTCAGTCTGTTTTAAAAATATGAAATATTTCAGCAGCTGCTGCCACTAGACTTTAAAACATGATGCTTCAGTGTGTTGCTGGTTACAGCCTAAGTGACAATTCAGATTTATTTTTTTTAATTTGAAGGAGGGGAAATTGGTCGGTATGAAAGGGCCTCGTGGCCCACTGTGATTCAGAGGGAACGCTGAAATACTGCGTTAGTTCACATGCTTCTCCAAATGTCAGTGCTTTATATCTTCACATAAACAAGGCTGACCTAAATTTTCAAGATTTAGCAGCAGCATTTTTCATCCTAACCCAGTTCAGCCAGGAGAGTTCACTTGGGGTTTTACTCATTTCTTCCTCACCCTGTGAACTTAGCAGAGTTTTTTCCCACAGCTGTTTTCTTTTCCATGTTTTTTATTTATTTATTTTCGGTTCCAGTTTACACAGCGGAATAGCAGATTGGGAAGGAGAAAACACAAATTGTATTGTCAGGGAAACAGCAGGTTGGCTGCTGGGGCTTCTCAGTGCTGAGTGCCAGAGCTGGGAGCCAACCCCAGTGCTGCTGGGACAACGCACATCAGCATTGCTGTGCAAGTGCGGCTCATGCGGGAGGCTCTGGTGGAGAAGCAGGCAGGGGAGGCAGGGGCAGGTTGAAGCGGGCAAATAAAATATCTGCTGGAAGTGGCTGAGCTGTGAATCTGTTCTAGGGGGGATTTCCTAAGCAAGCATCTGGCTGCCAAAGTGTTAAATACGGTCTGTGAGACTAACCCCGACTGCAGGGTGACTCCGGGAAGGGGAGATACACAGCCGCAACTTCATTTATCTTTGAATCGCTAAACAAACACGAAATTATAGGCTGCTTTAATTAGACTGTGGCTAAGGAGCTTTTCAGAATTAATGGCAGCAGTGTATCTCGTAAAACGCTGCGTGTGCATGAAACACAGCCCGTCCAAAGGCGGAGCGTTTGTGCGTACCTTTTAAACACGTCTCCTGTCCTTTCAAACCACATGTGTAACGGGTAGATAAGTCAGCGGGAGCCTTCGTGGGCGGCTGAAGAGAGGCTCTCTGCCTTCCCCGTGCCCATGCGCACACCTCCGTTCGTGTTTGCAGTTGTTGCTCGCGTTGCTTTGATCTCCTTTGAAAAGCAAGTTTAGTATTCTGCGAGCCCCTTCTCTGCTCCAGAAGATTAGGGCAGAAGCGTTTTAGGAATTTTCAGCAGAGCCTCTTTGATTCCTTTCACCACACCGAGCAGATTTTCCTCGTGCCCTTTGAAGGCTTTGGAGCATCACCCGGAGAGAATCGGGCGCAGGGATGCGGGGATGGGCTGCGAGTGGGGCTGCCGAGCGCATAGCTTCGTCACCGCACCCATTAGTGAGCAATCTATTAATGTAATGAGTGCCTATTAGCGGCTACCGCTATTTAGGAATGCTCTGCTGGATTCAGGGTGATGTATTGGTGAGTCTGGCTGAACCCTGCCTTCTGACCCCTGTGTGCAGAACGCTGGGTTGGGCAAGATGGTAAATCAGCAGATTTTCTATTTCCAGTTGCAGAACTTTACTGTGAGCATCATCTTCTGCATCGCTGGTGATGCTCTGTAAAACATTGGCCATAATGGAATTTTAAGGCAGAAGTTAAAATGTGCTGAAGCTGGCTTCGGAGAACTGTCTTTTAATATTTTATGTCAATAATGTGCTTTTTAATTTTCCTTGGCCTCAGCCAAAAGAACTTCCTTTAGAAAGCAAGGGGGCAAAGACCAGGCAGTTTACAATGAGGTCCTTTTGCAGCTGCCTGAGATATTCAAGGTTACGCGAGCTGTGCAGTGTCAGTGCAGCTGGGTTACATCATCCGCTGGTTTAAAGCTTGTTCCAATAACGTGACTTGGCAGGCTTATAATTGTGAATTATATGTTAAATTCTGTATTGTTACTTGTGTTGCATTATGTATAAATTATATACTCCTTTGTCAATTTCAGTCTTATTAGTTATATGATCCTTCTGGATTCAGAGCCACTAAAAACTTCTCAGTGCTTTGAAAGATTTGATCCTGGTAGTTTTGCTGCTAATCTTGCAGAGAGATTTTAAGAAAACAGCATTTACAACAGGGATTTTGCTGCTACAAATATTTTTAAAGGCTCCCACTGAAAGAATCCACTCTCTGCTTAGCCATCGTGCCCACTCTGTATTTAAATACAGACAATTCATTGCATCTAATACGGTTTCGTTTTTTAAACTCTAGACTGATTTCATAAGCAAACATGCTATTGTGGTATTAGAGGTTAACACAATAGTAATACTATATATCAGTTCCTTAGAAAATTGAGTTTTGTGAATTAAATGAAATTTAAAAAAGACAAGTTTGCTGACCTTATTTGTCAAGTTTTTGGTAGTACTGAAGTTAATGTCAGGTCCGAGAACAAAGTAAGGTGGGAAATTGGGGCTGGTCAGTGCCCTGCAGTAGTGCTCACATCTATGTAAGTTGCCTCTAAGGACTCTCATTAAACCTCAGCTATCACTGAGGACGATGACTTTTC